CAAAGCAAACGGGAGCCTACATTCTACCCGCCAGAGACACAGAGAGATGGCACAGGCACAAGAACAGATATCCAAAGAACCCAAGGCAGAGGGTGGCGAGGGCCCAGGGGGATGTGAGAAGGAAGGGAGCCCTGTTATGTGAGGGAAAGGCTTCAGAAGAGGCGGCACCTGGAGGATACTGAAAGGTCCAAGAAGTGAGGATGGAAAGCCTTCTAAGTGCAGAAGGGCTTGCCTGTGGAATGCTTAATTGTAGAGAGACCTCATGGGAACAGGAAGGAACCATCCAATTGGGATAATAATATATAACAAATACTTATGTAGGGCTTTCAATTTTACACTTTATTCATATTATCATTTCATTTGATCTCATTTGATTAAAAACTAGAATGTGAAGAAAAAGTCATATGAAATGAAATCAGGAAAGATAGATTGGAGCCAGAGGGAGGGCTTGAAATGCCAAGCTGTGGCATTTTTATTTTCTTCTGCAGGTCCTGGGGAGCCCTGGATGGGTTCAGAGCAGATCGCAGGCAATGGTCAGCTTTGTGCCTTCACAGGTTACTGTGGCAGTGGTGTGAAGGACATATTGGAGAGGGGGCTTGGTACCTATCTTTAGTCTAAAACTCTGGTGCTCTCACCCCCTAGTCTAGTCTAACCCTTTACTGAGTCACGGAGGCCCAGAGAGGAGTAGATTTGCCCACAGAGAAGCCAGTAGAACCAGATCTCTTGACCTCTCCATTCTGGTTCCACACCCCCTCTCAAAAAAGTCAGTCTGGGTTCAAGTGCTGGGCGAGCGGTCAGGGACCTAAGCTGGTCAAGTTGGGAAATGCCTTCCCTAACTCCTCTAGGCTCCACCTGGCATCTCAGGCACCTTCTTTTTACCTAGCCATGGCTCCTATAAATATATACATAATACATATAAATTATAGTATATAAATATCTGTGTGCAATAGATCTAGTTACGTATTAAACATGCAAACTACGTTTCTATATACTAAAATGTTATGTCATATACTCCATAAATATATTATTAATATCTGTAAGGCATACTTGTTATATATAAATATGCATAAACATGAGCAATGAATGTTTCACTATACATGCACACACACACATACTATACAATAACCAGTGTGTATACAGAACTCTAAACTGTGCACTTTGCATCCATGATTTCATTTGACTCACAACAACCCTGTGAGGTAGGTGCTTTTATTATGTCCATTTTACATCTCCTTGGTCACCTTGCTAAGTCAATGTCTGAGGTAGGATAAAAGCAGGAAGATCAAACCCTGAAGGCCTCTAGAATGTGGGGTGATCAGAGCATCTAGCCAACTCCCCCACCCTTCATTGTTCCCACTTACCTTCTTTCTTTGGACTGCTTGCTGCTGCTGCCTCAGACCCTGGGGGTCACCAGCTTAGCACCCCCTAACCTCATTCTCCAAATAGGTTTGAGCCGGCCATGCCACCCTTATCTTCACTTGTCCCATCATGCAACCCCTGGAAGTGAACACTTCGATGACGTTACCAGGGGCACCTGCCCTTAGCGGAAGGCCTCATGCCCGGTGGCACAGTGCCAACCTCTGACACTCTCAGGGTGCATCCTTAGTGACACACTGCCACGTTCACATTGACAGTCACAAACGCAGGCAGCCCCTTGGACTTCCAGGACCAGCACTTGACCAGGAACGGGCCAAGGACGACAAGAGAAGGAACCGCTTAGAGACCTTCCTCTTGGCCAAGCCCCCAGGGATCTGGGTTCCCATCCAGTAACTGGTGGTCCAAGCAATGAAGAAGATCCAAACCGGCTCCCTGGGCCCCGAGGCACATGAGTAGAGCAGATTAAGGCTTCTGGATGTCCCCTCTTCCCCGGGCATAAGCAAGATCAGAGCAAGGGGATACAGCAGAGGCTGAGGATGTAATCAAGGATGGACATCGATCTGGACTTGACAGGAGACAAACAGACAGACCCTGGTGGAAGGCTTGGGGTAGAGGCATAGTGGTGGTAGTGGTGGTGGTGCAGTGCCTTAAGGCCCCTATCATTCTTGGCTGCCCACATCTGGCTGGGGCCCCCGGGACCTTTCTTCTTTCGGGCTAGAGGTTGGCATGCAGCCACCTTCCGGCCCACTGTTCCTCTAGGCTCTGGGCAACAAGGTCAGCGCTCCAAATTAAGAAACCACATCCTAGACCCTTCACTGTCATCGGAAGCTCAGAGGGTGCCCACAAGCCCCTCTAGGGATTCCCCAGCCAGATCATCAGATTTCAGAACTGATCTGCTGCAGCAGATGGAGAGCCTTGGACTTGGGGTCTGAAGAGCCGGAACTCAAACCAGATCTGGACCTTTCTTATCCTCTCTCAACTGTGGTTTCCTCATCCATCAACCAGTAATTATGAAAAAAAAAATCGCTTTCTAAACCTTGGAGTGACATAGAAAACATAAGCTCTTTATGACAATTCCTCTGGTTATCGGGTGCTTTCAAGGAAATAGCCCAGGCCAGGGTCAAGCACCTCCCTGGGGCCCCACAGCCAGAGGGCCTGGGCCTAGAGTCCCTTCCAGGAAACTCCTAGTGGCCAACACAGCTGGGGTGGAATAGAGATTAGTCAGCAGGCCGAGTCAGCCCAGGGAGCTGTTTCAGGGAAGGAGGGAAGTGGTGCTGACAGGAAGCAAGGGGAGGGGGGAAGAGGTGGAGGAGGTGACTGGGGAAGCCAGTCAGGGGACCCGGTGTAGATAGGATCAGGCCAGCTGGAAACACCAGCCCAATTTCCCCTAAGTCCTTGGGTAGGGATGGGGGGACCAGAGGCAGAGGGTAGCCCTTGCTTTGGGAATGGAAAGGGGGAAGGGGGCAATCCCATAAGGTACTGAAGTAAACCAGAAGTGGGGGGAGAAGACAGAGACCCATCTCATCTCGAGTACTCAGATCTTGTTCCACGAAGCCTCACCAGGATAAATTAGAGATGGGCTTGAGGTCCAAACCAGAAAGGGGATGTGGGACAGCCCCTGGAACAGCTGCGACGAGGAGGGAGAGTCCAGGGGACGGCCCAGAGAGGCCCTGGCCCGGGGCCCTTGGGTAAGAATGGGGGCATTAGCTCCCAGGGAAGTGACTCATCCTCCCAGATTCTGAGCACTGCCAACTTAGAAGGCACTGACAGGCCCTTCCTTCCCTCCCCCACCCCATCCCCCAAAGTCTCTCACACCTGCCTGTCATGGAGCCAAAAAAACACCCACTCTCCAAGAAATGAAGGGGTGGGAATAGATGATCTCTAAGGCCCCTTCCTCCACAAAATCCCATAATCTGGTCCTTTGGGAGTTTCCAGAGTGCCTCCAGGAGAAGGCAGAGCAGCCCAGCAGGAAGAGCGGTGGACGTGACTTTCAGGAGACATGGGATCTGGGCTCAGCTCTGGGATCTCTGGGCCAGGTGACCTCTGAGAATTCGAGCTCCCTCCTCTCCAAGCCTCAGTCTCCTCAGCTGTCAACTGGGAACAAGAAGAAGGCCGACAAAGGCTGAAGGTGAGGAAAATGCTTTGTAAACAATTCTAGGCTCTGTGTTATCCATGTGAGAGCAACTATCACGAATGAGAAACATGGAATGCTAATGGTGAGAGGAACCAGACACACAGAATGTCAGGGCAGGGAGTGCCAGAAGAATGTCCGGCCTGGAAGGGTCCTCGGAACAAAGAATGCCAGTGGTGGGGGATGTATGATGATATAGCACTTTAAGGCTTACAAAGCGCTTCACAAGTTATCTTGTTGGCTCCTCACAACAACCCTGGGAGGCACGTGCTTATTATTATGTCCATTTTACACATGAGAAAACTAAGGCCAAGAGAATTTGCCCAGGGTCACAGTCAGAGCTGGGATGGACTTTTGAACACAAAAGGAGGAACCTTAGATCAGAAGATGCCAGAGTCAAGAGGGCCCTTAGAACACAGAATGTCAGAGCTGAGAGGGCTCTGAGAACAGGGAATGCTTGAATTGGGAGGGCTCTTAAAACCCAGAAGGTCAGAATAAGAGGGTTCTTAGCACACAATGTCAGAGCAGGGAAGGACTTTAGAACCGAGAAGGTCAGAGCTAGGAGGAACCTTACAACACAGAATATCAGAGCTGGGAGGAACCTTAGAACACATTAGAATATCAGAGCCCTTAGAACAT